AAACTTAAAACCTCAAAATCTTAAAAACCCACTAAGATCCTAAATTTAACCTAAATATTAAATTTCACTTGCAACCCCAAATCATCACCCGAAAATCATTCAAACCTTAAAAATCTTAACCTAAGCCCACTCCTAAAACCATTACAAAATTTTAAAGATTCATATGAAAGTCTCATATGAAGTAATTTGTTACTGAATGTCACCTAAAAGATGAGGTATTTAAAAAATTTTATTTCAATAAGTTTTTTTTCATACAAGTCCTTAACCTGCAATAATAATGGCATTAAATAAAAGAAAAATTAAAAAAATAGAATCGTAAACATAAATAGTTGCATCTAAACTTTGCTTAAAGGTTAAGGAGTCTGGGAGGTTTCATTATATTTAAGATCCCAATTTCAAAATGGCATCTTATCATTATGCATATAATCTATTGGCACATATGCATTTATATATTATTACTTGTATTCATTCTGTAAATTTATGCCTTTACTATTGCTTCTTTGTTAATTGCAGCATCTTCAATTTTTTTTTGCATAAAATGTTTTTATGAAAAGTATTATTAAAAAAATAGATTTTTAAATTAAACTAAATTAATATTCTAAGAAAAGTAATTCTTGGTACTTTGCCTAAATATTAAAGAGTCACCAACAATTATCATCTACAAAAAATGTTATTTTCATTTTGAGGAATGTGGTGGCAAATCTTAGGTGAAAAGCATTATCCATAAATTTTGCCTAGACATTATAGAATTTTAAGATAATTCTTTAACTTAAAGATTTCTTTGATATTCCTAAATAAAGAATTTTAATAAAATTATTTTTTTAAAAAAATTATTATTAAATTTCAAATCAAAACTATTTTATCCAGACGCATGATTAATAGGTATCAATTTTCATGAGTGCTATGGATGTACTAGTTTTTTTCTATATGTAACTGACTCCCAAACCTAATTATGTTTTTGTAAACTAAAAATTATCTTTTTGATAAATTTTAAATCTGTTTTATTATTTTTATTATAAACTCTTTTTGGTGGCCAATCACATTATAAAAAAGATTGATAGTGACTATTTTATTTTTTTCGATTTTAAAATTTTATCGTTTAGCTATCTCAAAACCATTATGACACTTCAAAATTTTTTTCGTTTTATTTATAATTCCATATTTTTAAACTACATTTAAAAAAACTTTTTTATGCAAAAAAAAAAATGATGGTACAATTAGCTAGCAAATGATAATTAAAGGTATAAACATGCAAAACGACTACAAATAATAATGAATAGATGCACGTATGCGAATGGATGCTATGCATGATGATGAAATGCAATTTTGAAAGTGAGTATTTAGATAGAATGAGACCACTTTAACTTCTCAACATCTAGGTAGAGTATAGGTGCGACTATTTGTATTTAAGATCCTAGTTTTAGTAATTTTTTTTACTCTTTTATTTAATCTTATTATTATTACGGGTTAATGATTCGTACGAAAAATTTAATGAAATAAAATTTTTTAAATATCCCATATTCTAGCGACATTCAGAAATAAATTACTTCATATAAGATTTTCATACTTATCCTTAGAATTTTGGGATGGTTTTAGATGTAGGCTTAAGTTGAAGTTTTTAAGATTTGAATGATTTTTTTGGCGATGATTTGAGGTTACGGGTCAAATTTATGGTTTGGATTAAATTTAGGGTCTTTATGAATTTTAGAATTTTGGGTTTTGTTTTAGGGTTTTGATGTGTTAGGGTTTAAGGTTCTAAGATTTCAATTTTTTAAGTTTCAAGATTTAGGGTTTCAAAATTTTAAGGTTTTAAAAATTTTATTATTATTATTATTATTACTATTATGAGAAAAATGAAATTATTAATAACTTGAATTTTTTCAATTATCCCCAACATCTAAGTGAAATTTCGAAACAAGTTCGATTTTTGTAATTCTTTTTTTTCTTTAACAATTTTATGTTGATACAACATGAAGTAAATAAATTGTGCAAATAAAATTAGAACAACCAATTTAATCAATTTATGCGTGTTTTATTACTATTTACTATTTACTATTTTCTTTCGATTCTTTTCCAAATTAAAAAAAAAAAAAAGTGAAAGCAATTTTTTTTTTTTTTTTTTTGTTTGTAAAAGAAAATTTTTTAATTTTAATTTTTAAAAAATATTTTTAACATTTTAATTTTTCAACATTTAGGCAGAATTAAACTATTTAAAACATGATTTAAACTCTTTCTCACATTTAAATAAGGTTTCCAAAATCTTTTTTTTTAGTGAAACTGATTCTCTTTTTTTCTTTTTTGGTTCAACACTGCTCTTCTTCTCTTCTGTTTCCGTTACTTAAGCTACTTACCTTTTCCTTTTTTTTTTGGTTGTAGCCAAATGGTGCCCAAAGAGTTACCAAACATGATTTTTTTTTTAAATCTTTTTATTGTTAGGTTCCTCACCAGATCAGTGAGGGCTGTTGTTTTTTATGTTTTTATTTTTATTTTTTTTATGTTTTGTAATTTTTGGACCAAAAGGTAAAAATGACCTTTTATTGACTTTTTTTTTTTTGGAAGAGGCTAGCTATGGACAATTTAGTAGTGAAAATTTTTTATTCTTTGATGGAGCTCTAAGATAGGTGATGGTGTTGATGGTTTCAGTCTTGAATGGGGCTGAATGGGGCTGGCTGGTGGTCGGTGAGGGGAGGGGAGGCCAAATGGGATTTTGGTGAAAGTTAGAGGAGTGGTCGGGGTGTGGTTCTTAAGAATAGCGCACGGATTGGTGTTTGGTAGGCAGAGGCTGTTGCTGATAGGGGCTTCTATTTGTGATGGTGAAAGGATTGGTAGTTTTTAGTGTGTGGGTGGATTATTAGAGGTAATTTTTTTGTAAAATAGTCAAATGGGTGTTGGGTTCCCTTTTTTTTTGTTTTCATTTTTCCGTAATTGAATTTGGTCTAAAAAAAGTGATCGAGGTTTTTGGTTTGTTATGGTAGCAATGGTTGTTGTATTTCTTGGTTGATGGGTTTAGATTATTCCTTGCAATGGAGTTGTAGGTGAAAATTGAGGGGTAAAAATAGATTAACTAAAAATGGGGTTGACAATTTAGGGGGAAGAAAAAGCAATTTTGGGAGAAGGGAAAGTGAGGGAAAGTTGCTGTTGCCAATGACCCTCTGATCTTTTTTTTTTAATATTTAATTTTTTTTATTGATTTTTAATTATTATTGTTAATTAATTAAAATAACCAAATTAACAACTAATTTAAGATCTAAAATCAAATATCAAATTTTGGGTTTATGAGCTTTCAAGCCTCAATGACTTGAATCGCATTTTAAGAAATTCGAATTTATAACTGAGCTTTGGACATTTTAATTGGACTCTTTAATTTAAATTAAAAATTGACCCGATAATTGAATTGGAGTTAAGCCCATGCAAAAATAATCCCAAATCAATTAATCCGAATAAAAATTTGAGTGGGTCAAATCAAATCAAATATAAAAATTAAATAAACTCAAATTGATTTAGACAAAATTAAATGTTTACAATGTAAATTGATTTGTCATACATATGTACATACATATATATATATATATATATATATATATATATATATATATAAACTTCACTGTTATTAGTTATTATCATTTTGTGGAGCAAACCTATAATACTGAAAACAGAGAATTGCATGTGTTACTGGGGAAAAAATTAGATGGCAGCTTTGACTCTCTGCTCATAATTCATGAATACGCTGCCGTCCTTGAATTCTTTGGAAATTAACCTATAACTATATCAGAACATACCCTAGAAACTAGGTGTTTTCTGTACTGGCTTTAATGTCTAAGATTCAGATCAACAACAGAGCTAATAGTTAAAATTCCCAGTTTCTGTCATGGGCAGTGAGCAGGCCGCTTGATCTGCCTCAGGCCATGCTGCCATGCCGTGCAGACACTGCTAACTGCTAAGCCAGGCCTGCAGTCTTGCTTCCTTCAAATTTAACCAGGCTCCAAGAAGCCCTTCTCTCTTGTCAATTGTCCACCCATTTTAGCATTAATATTTGTGAAAGAAAGAAGTAAAAAAAAAAAAAAATTCTCTAGAATTTCCTTTCCTTAGGCGCATGTTTTCCTCCCGGCCACCAACCGATCCTCAGGCACATGTTAGTAGGTCCTATAACATTACCCTAAAGATATTCTTCAAAAATCAACCACCACATGATCCTAACCGACCCCATGTTATTATTATTGGCAACTTAAAAAAAAAAAGAAACTATTTACACTTATTAATATTAATCCTGATTAGGGTTTCCAAGCACTTTCATGATCCCAATCATAACCCATTAAGTCATTATTAACATAACTATATATCGTCCATAATCATTTTACAATTATACCACATCTATATATAATTTAGTTTGCTTTATTTTTTCTCTTATATATAGCTCCACTTGTATTATAATCCATTTGTAATCCGGATAACAATTCAATCAACGATTTGAAATTAATTAGACAAGTTAAACAAAAAATAAAGTAATAATTACTTAATCACCATCTTGATTAATTGAATGCTATGTGACATGGACATTACTAACTGTTTTAATACAAAACTCTATTATTTTTTCACTATGTAAACTTTCATTTTCTTCGTTTATATCTTTTTGCATTCCTTAAAATTATGACTTTTTTTTAACACTTTACACTTTTATTTTTTATATTTTAAAATTATTTTTCATGATATTTAACATTAAAATATATGAAACATCAATTTTATAAATAAAAAACTTAATATAAAATAATAAACATCATATATATATATATTTTAATAATTTAAGAGAACAAAGAATTGAAAGGGAGTACCACCTAGGAAACCAACATACCTATAATTATAGGTACATAAGCCTTGTATATCTAATTGTCTTTAACTGATGTATACATACTATATATGCCTATCACCATTCCTCTTCCGATTAGATGACTTAATTAATTTCTTTTTCTATGTCTATTTCTATTTTTTTTCTCTTCATTTTCCTACATATCGTGATAATCAAAGACATTAACCGGATCAAAAACTGCTTCAGCGTGTCTGGAAACCATGATTTCAGAGGCAGCCCATAGCCTTGCAGCTTCGTTCGAATTAGACCCCAGTTTCGACGTCCATGCTTCGTTGCAGTCTGCAAAGTATTTCCCACTTATATTTACTAACCTTGGATGCGTTGCAACGTAACAAGTCGTAGCAGCTGCCTGCAACATCAAGAAAGCCCATTTTTCCATAAAAAAAAAAAAAAAAAAAAATTTCACTTCATCAATATATAGTCAATTCATAGCTTGCTTAGAGTGGATATTGGGTGATTAATTACCTGAGGGATTGTCTTCAGGAGCTTGGAAGCTAAAAGGAAAGCCAGATCTGCAAGTTTAAGTAACTAAAATATTATATTTTTATCAAGTGATCAGTGTTAATTGAAATCATAAACCCCAATGTTAATTCGACGAATGGTAGTACTATTTTCTTATACCTGTGATCAAGCCCTCACGTTCCCTGGTGAGACGGGTTCTAACAATCCCTGGATGAACACAGTTCACCGTCACGTTGGACACTTGCTGCATTATTGAGAAAATAATTAACACCCCAAAAAACAAAAGATTAATAAGGCAAACAATTTGTCAAAAAAAAATGATAAAGAAAACAACAAAATTTCGCTTTTCTGGGAAAGGGTCTTAAAAATTGAACTGAAAATATAAAACGATGGATTCACCTTCAGTCTCTGAGCAAGCTCCTTGGTATGCAAAACATTAGCGAGCTTCGAGAGAGCATAAGCACGTGTCGCATCGTATTGACTGGAGACAGACACCCAGACAAAAAACAAATCCATTAATTAAAAATAGACAGAAATGTCAAATCGAAAACTCAATCTTCTTAACAATCATTTACTCCTACTATATTATGTTCTCGTTATCTGATCCTGTCAATTCATCACTGTTCCTCCGATTCTTTCCTTTCCCTTCTCGTTTCTCGGTTATCAGTTCTCACCTTTTGCTTCTCGATATCTGGCCTAGACACCCGATCATATCGCCAGAAAACCAGCAGTGAATACTTGACGACACATTCACGATTCTTCCTTGAACGCCCTTTTGTTTTGCCGTTTTGATCATCTTGTTTAGCAACAGTTTCGTCAACAAAAAATGACCTAAAACATTTATCACATAAAGTGTTGAGCTATATTTGGTATAAAACAAATACTACTAATATCAAACTATTTACATAATTGCGCTTACCAAGATAATTAGTGGCAAATGTCATCTCGATTCCATCCTCGGATATTGCATGTTCATGCGCAAACTTGCCGGCGTTGTTTCTAATATTAACCAAAAAAGCTTGCTTTTAGTTAGTTCGATAAAGAAAAAGGTTTGTTGTTTCATTCAAGCTGAAGTTTCAAACAACATACTTTAGTTTATATAGTCATGTTCTGACTGAAAATTTACCTTCTTTCTTTATCTTCTTTGGTTTCTAAGCAAACCAACATAGAGCTTTTTTTTTTTTAAGTAGAAGTTAAGGAAAATAGGGCCAAGGAGTTTACATGAGGAGATTGAGAGGCAAGTCAAGTGACTCGAACTCCGACACAAAATTTCGTACAGAAATGAGAGAACTAAGATCAAGAGCCATGGCAATGATCTCCGAGTCAGGGAACTCTGATAAAATCATAGCCTTAGCATCCTCAGCAGCTTTAAGGTTCCGAGCTGGAAGCACCAACCTAGCTCCTCGCTTAGCCAACACTCTAGCCGTCTCAGCTCCGATCCCCGATGTCGCACCTGTTTCAACATCTCACAATCAAAACCACCCAAAAAAAGAAAAGGAAAGAAAGTTTGCCACGTGACATCGTCGTTTCATTACCTGTGACGATAGCGGTAATGGAGCCGAGATCAGGGCAAGTCTCGGTAACTTGCTCAGCAGTAGACTTAGAGCCAAAACCGCTGGCTCCTGTTGAGCCGATCAGGTACTTCACAGTTTCTAGCATTTCTACTTTTTTATTTCCTTTTCGATGTAATCAATTTTTTAGAGCTTAAAGTTGGCTGAAGAGCACACAAAAGTACGTTCAGTAATTAAGCAATGGCAGTAACAGAGAGTAAGAAGTACATCGATAAACGGCTTTGTTTGCTTTTGACAGATTTTGCATTTATTCAGACACAGAAAGAAAAGATCAGAAAAGAAAAATTAAAGGTAGGGAGAGGTAAAAGCTAATCTGTTCGAGTACGAAGGAGAAGGTGGGATCAGATTTTATAATGGAGCTTGGTGGTGAAGAGAGAGAGAGAGAGAGAGAATGGATTATATGTTTGTCATTTGACTGATTAAAGATAATTAAATTATGCATCATTAGAATTTAATGTTGTTTGGTTTTATTATTATTATTATTATTATTATTATTATTGAAAGTGGGGTCTAATTTAGAAAACTGATTGCTCTAATTGGTTGGAAAGATCGAGAATTCATCGGCATTTGTAGGAGAATTTTAGGCCTTGGAAATGATGAGCATTTAGCATTAGTACTACATATCACATGGTCAGAAACAATGAGGTTTGACTTGAATAGTGACACAACAGTGATGTATTGTGTCCTTTGCTTTAATTTTACAACTTAAATTTGATTAGCCATATGTATTAACTATAATAATTAATTCGAGAAATTATCATATTCACTTTCAATGAAGTTTTGAATTAACATAATGATAAATATTTTTTAAAATATTATAAATAAATTAAATTAAAAAATTAAAATATGGGACAATCTGTTAAATTCATTCTTAAAATTAAAATTTTTTATTATCAATGTATAAAAAATAAATTCAATTAATTTTATCCCAAAAAATAATTAATAGCCATTCAACAAGACAAAAAATGTGCAATTTTACGTTAGGGTTTGAAAAGATTGGAGGATTTTTCCCCCTAAATATATGTGTTGATAAACTAAAGTAAATTATACCCCCCCCCCCCCCCCCATTTTTGTGTTGATAGCGGAGGAGGTTTCTTCAAAGTCAAAATTTGGGAAATGAATCGGTAAGCTAGTCAAGTGTTGGTTCGTGTTGCGCAAGTGTGAACTGTGAACCGTTGGTTGGTTGGAAACGAGTCGGCGATTATTTAAATAGGTAAGAATCGTCAAAGTCTATAGCACGTGAAGGTTCCTAAATTGTGCGATCGGTCAATTCTACGGCCCCGAATCTAGCATCTCCTCGGGATGTAAAACCCTTTTGGTCAATCATTTTTCCGTTCCCAAAATTTCCCATTCATTTTCCTCCTTCCTTTTCTTTGCTTGTTCCGGAAGCTTAACTTCAAATTCATTATTACGATTTATTCACTAAATATACTAATAATAGTAAAATTAATTTGTTTGTTTCAATTATTAATGGCAAATATAAATAAAAATTATGCTAAAGAGTGCTTTAAAACTATTTTTAAAATTATTATATTAAATAATATTTTTTTTATATTAAAATTCATAATATTAATTATGAAATATCATATTTATTATAAAAATATTACTATAAATGATATTAATTTTAACTTATTAACAAGTGATTCGTTGGCAAAATCCTATAAATAATAAAGGGATGAACATATGAAATATTGGGTATATGATTAAACTTCATTAAGATTTTTATCATGTTTTTATATCATATGATTAATAACAAAGACGTTTTATTATGTTTTAATTATAAAAAATATAAAAAAAAACAAGTTAAAAGCTACATATAATAAATTGATTAAATTACATAGTGATTCCAATCCTTTTTTTTTTTTTTTGAGAATTTCAATCTTTTTCTTTTGTTTAATTAATTGCAATAATTAATACATAGCAACCAACTCAAATCCTTTCATTACTAATTTCTTAATAATAAACTCCTCAATCTATGAATGTATACCACATCTTACTCATGCACTCACATGTGGGATTGTGGGTTTTTTTTTTGGCTCTTATATGAAGGAGCTTTTCTGAAGATTATAAATTAATTATTGCATCTTTAATCAATTAACAAAGATATCACTTTTCAGTCATGAATTTAATTAGTAGTATATATATGTACTCACATTAAATACAAAGAGATATGGTTGTAATCTTCATCGTCTCTACATAATGCAACTAAGCTTATAATAAAGCAAAAGAGTAAATGATTTCTTAAGGCACGTTTGCAGTTGTAATCTGTCATAGTTTTTGAGAAGAAAAAAAATTTAAGGTGGGGTAGAGACTATGCCACCTTAAAGATTAATTTACAGAAGGAAAAAGAAAGTCACGAAAACTCAGCTTTTTGGAGCACTTGTTCAAGGCTCCGTGCCCCATGCGAGGGACCTTGATTGAGTGTGACATCATATTCCCATCTCCACAACTGCAAATTCCTTTTTTTTTTTTTTTTTTCTAACTCAAAGTTTGCTATGATCACCATAGCTTCTCCCAGTAAACACCAATTAATGCCACTTCTGCATATTGTTTCCTGATCTTGGGGGGAGGGTTAGGAGGGCTATAAGATTCATATATTCTTTAATGGGAACAAGATATTAGTTTAAACATAATTTATATTTTTATCTTTTGAAATAATGGTCATGATTAAAAAAAGGGGGGAATATCCAACTTGTCAAATCCCATTTTCACCTAGCACTCGGATCACATTCTGGCTGGTTTGAGTTTAATAGTATTTGTTTTTGCCTTGAAGGGATTTGTGTTGAAATAATGATGCAGGCCGTGAATTCTTTAAGCAAAGATGTGTCAGAGTGACAAATCTTTTATCTTCTAGACTAGATGATTCTGAATTCTATTGGAGCAAAAAGTTAGAGTTGGAAAGTTGGGGAAAGATAATCAGAATTAATCATATTGAAAGAAATGGGCAGGAATTATGGCCAGTTCAAATTCCTTATCAAGTTTACAAACAATGCTGGGTGTGGATAGGTGTGGCCTAAACGAAAGCAGATGGACAACAGCTGCCTTTGTGCTCTACTTTCCACTAATTTGTGTCACAGACTTGTATTGGCCAATATATTGTATGGTCCATTGTCTTTGAAGTCGATGTACGCGTTTTTGAATTTATCAGTAAAAAAGATTTTGAAAGCCATTCCAACTTTTACTAAAAATGGCATTCTTTGCTGTTATTTGATGATACAGGAAAATTTTTGAAGAGGGATTGTGATAAAAAAAAAAAATTGAACAGATTAATGTAAAATCTTTTGAAAGTTATTTGAAGAATCCAATATAAAATCTTGGTTTTATGAGAAAAACTGAATTGCTTTGTTGCAAAATCACAGTTGAAGCAAGGCAAAAATGACTGGTCAATTTCTAAGTAGAAATGTGCCAATGAAAACCATGTCATTAGTGAATAATAAACTCTCTATGAGTGACAGGCCAGCATAGAGTACAACTTTGAGGCCAATGAATTATATGTCCAAAGCAGCTAGCACATGAGATGGGGGTCAAAGATATGTGACACCCAACCATAGATGCCGTTACATCGACCTCAGAATCCTTGCTAACCTGTGCAAGTTCCAGACTTCCATCTGCATCGGCCAGCCCCCACAGGTAGCAATAATTTAATTTATCAATGCAATTTTAATCTCACTCTTGCTCCTCTACTTTGTTGTTTTGTCTTTTTAGTTGCCAAAGAGAAGCTCAAAGCAGCGCAAAAAAGTGTTGTTTTATATATGAATATCCTTCTTCAGTGGCTCTTTTGTCAGTTATCTTTTGTGTTATTGTTTCTGTTAATATAAAATTACTGGCAGATAAAAGAAGAAAGCCTTTACTCTTACAGACCGATCCACTTTCAGTTTTCAACCTTACTTTTTACTAACATGGATTTGCATTTGTAGCTGATCAGACCAGAAGAAATGATTTCTTAGTGTGTATCATAATCCATGTTTGGTTCAGCATTTGCCAAAGGAACATGCAAAATTACATTTTCACATGCACTAATGTCTTGCCTAGGGGCCCATGCAGAAAATTTGCTCAATACAAATGAAATTAAAAGTTCATAATCTGAAAAATAGGACTTCCCCAGATCAACCATTCGGCCAAAAAGTTGATTTCATTTGGACTAGTCTGGTTCAAATGGATACAGTGATCAGTAGGATCAGACCTTGGATTTTGTATATGGTTTTCTTAATTATTTTTTTATAGCCTATAAAAACATCTTCTCTTTCTCCCTCTGGTTTAGGTTGTTTAATTAGCCAACTCTGTTTGACTAATGAGGCAGCTTGGAAGTGGAACTTGTCTCATGATGCACAAGATTGGGCATTTGGTCATTACTTCCCACTCACTCATTTCCCAATCTACATTACGCTCCATTTTCTATATATATCTCAAAATCACATATGAATTGTGTCATTGAATACTACCATTCTTCAATGATTGCCATTCTTTTCTTTTGAAGCCTAGAATCTTGCAGGGTCCCCTCCACCACTTAAAATTAGGGTTTAGGGTTTTAAAATTTTAGTTTTATATAATTAGTTTTGGATTTATGAGACTAATCATCTCTCCACCTCCTCGATTTGTATGCTAGAATATAAAATGTTAGTATAAAATTTTGCTAATGGATATCTTAATAGACAAGGTTGTTGTAATTTGTAAACTTCACATTATTTTTGAGAATTTAAAAAATGCATTCCATCAAATGGAACTCAAAAGAAGGGAAAAGAAGTGTAAAGGAATGTTGATTAAACTATTAGAATATCAAATATAGATGAAGCTCCATCCTACTTTTTTTCTTTTTTTATTCTCTCTCTCTAATAAGAAGAACTATGTAAGAACAAGTTACTTTTGAATTGCCCTTAATCCTGTTAGAATAAGTTTTTGTTTTGAATTCATATAATCATCTTTAAGAAATGGTATCAACAAATCTGAAGTTCAGAATTTTGGTATCTGTAATTTTTCCTTTATTCTTACGTAGCCTTCTCCTTTTTTTACACAGTGGCCTTTTTGTACCAAAAAAAAAAAAATCTTGCCCTTGGTGTGAAACGTTACTGTATGATATGCCTAACTCAAGCAGCATCACAACTTGAAAATAATCCAATAGGTACCTAATGGATCCTTTCATCTTTCTTTTTCCCTCTGATTTCGAGAGAAAACAAACAAGATATTCTGTTGAAACAGCGCATTTGGATTAGACTATTCTCTCTCTATCATAAGAGGATCTATGGTATCAATAGCTAGGAAAAATGAAAGAAGAGTCCATCAATGACCCACCACCACCCACTGCTTAATTGCCCTCAAATCTTTTCCTGTTGTAATGCATCCACATATTGGAGAGAGTATGACAGGCAAATGTCCAATCCTTGTAATCCAATTAACTATGCAATTTGTCAGTTCATTAGTTAAAAATGTTGGCACAAACTTATTTAAAGTATTATTAGGCAACTAACTCCACCAGCTTTGGAACATTATTGAGTTATTATCATCAAAGCTTTTTCAGTTTTTTGTAGTGTTATGATAAAAAAGCCAAATTTCTGGGGTGTCCTGAAAATTAGTCCGAAATTACTGACTCCTACGACAACGGCAATGAAAGCCGAAGACCTTTTATTAATCATCTTAAGCACGATATTGCTCTGCTTCTTCACACTGCTAGCACACGGCAGAGGAATAGATGACCAACAACTGATTTAAACAAGTACTAAAATTGTAACTAAGGATGCTTAATTGAGACGAGCACATGCATGATTGATGTCTTCATTCTATATACGTTCTAGAAACAAAATAATGGCACATCATTCTTGCATCAGATGTGGGTGGCAAAGTCAGGAAACAAGAAAAACCACTGTTAGGTGACATATCACTGTTAGGTTTAGAGTGGGACAAGGGTGGTGCCAATGAGATTCTACACTCACCCAATTTTCAATATTAAATGATACAACTGACTGTGTTAGGCGCAGCATAATTTTCATATTTAATGATACAAATAAGCAGACATGGCTAGGCACCCGACACCTACCTTGAGCAATCCAATAGGCCCTTCCCTTCATAACAATGACTAGTTGATCTTAGATGAGTAGATATGTAAGATAATAGGACCTATACCCTCCTTCAAAGTCCCTCAACTTTCAGACAACAAAGCCTTTGTCAAATACCTGCAGCCAACGAGGCCTTAGGGCTTGTTTTCTTCACATGTATGGTCGATAAAAGTCCATCACATTTTTTTTCTTCAGTGATAAAGTTTTCGAGTTTGAAATATATAGAAATCCCATTTTTAGTGCTCAACTCAATTCAGTTATATTTACCAAAAGAGCAGGTTGGCAGGCACACGTTCACTGCAAATGAAGAGACTCAAATTGATGAAGCACATTATAAAATCACAACAATGGCCAAAAACAATCCCAATGCTTTATTTTATACTTTTGAAATCATAAAATACATCTGTTATTGTTATTCATGTTCACGAACACATTTCGTCGCTCAGTTGCAGTCTATCTTTTTGTCTTTAGGCCACCCAAATTCCTCCAAGAATGCCAACACTACTCCATTGGACCAACCAAAACCAGTCTTCATTGCAACATGACCAAAAAGACTTGAGTCAGTGTTAAAAGAAAAAAAAAAAAAACTCGGGATGCCCTTTTTATGTAGCAATTAGTTTGTGCAAAGCCAAAATTTCTTTCATTACGTTAAAGTCTAACAAATGATATGTAGTCCTACCTGGGGTATGTATTCGCCACCACCACCATATTCACCACACTTTTCCACATTATATTTCTCATGCATTGCTCCTGTCTTCTTGTAGGCAACATAGTTGGTTCTGATCCACCTTTCAGCAATGTCTTTTGCTACTGTTCTTGCTTCCGTTGATCCAGATTTTGACAAGCCTTCAACTATCATGTGCTGAAGTGGAGCCCAACCATTTGGGAAGTCCCTGTGCGCATTTCATTTTCCCTTTGGAACATTAATGCTATGCAAAGAAAAAGGAAATGCACAACTTACGCCGTGATCAATAGACTAATGTGCCGAATGGCTATTGATCTTAAAAAAAGTATATATCAAGTTGAGTGAAAAGATTTACTAACCATTGTTGTCCTGAATTTGTCAAAGAGGTTGCAATTCCAGCAGCACAAAGCAGGCCTGAACTTTGAAGACTTCTCGTAACCTTTTCCACCAGGGGAGTATCTTCACATGCAGACATATCAAAAGATTCTAAGCTGTCTTCCATTTATGAAGCAAAAGATAAATTTTTTTTATATTGATAATTGAATTATAAAAAGTCAACATATAAGATAATATCCACCCAAGCAGCTTTGATGCTTCTATGTCGCTTTTACCATACTCACTACCCATTGCTCCCAATGTTGGTTGCCAGAGCAAGTTTTCAAACAGTCAGTTTCTATGAACGATTTATGATAAACAGCAGAGTCAAGGGCAGCATAGAAAAAATTGCTAATCTAATGGGCTTATAGTCTCTAAACGTGGACATCCTATACCATTCCTTACCACGGACCTATAGTTCTTTGAGTTTGGAAGGACTGTTCTGAATTACCCAGGACTACTAGCTTTCAAATTTGAGATCTAGAAGTCCAAGCATAGACTCTAACAAAGTATGATCAAGCTGGGCTTGAACAGCCAGTCATTTACTTAAGCATTTCCTGCACCAATCCTCAAAATGGCAAGTCAGGATTCAGCAGTTACAAACCTGAGTTGAACAAATCAATCCACAAGGGAACAAAGTTTGAAGCAAACACGTTCCGGTTCTGGTTCTTAGCTTCCCAAGTTTGGGGTTCCTGATGGAGCATCAAAATGACAAAACTTTAAACTTAAAGAATGTTATAACTGTTTGGTATAACCATACAAACTATGGCACTTGGAAATGACCTCGCAATCAGCACCATTATTGAGCCAATAATCCAACCATTGTCCCATATTTTCATTCCAAAAAACCGAGTTGAATGCCTTCTGTCTTGTCTGAGAAGCTCTCAGGAAATCCTCAGCGATGGTATTCTCTCCAACAATTTTTGCCAAGAAGGCAATGTCAAGTTCCATCTATATCAAGAAATGAACAGCTTTTGTCATTAAGTCCATGGAGTACTGATCTCAGGACTTCTTAAGAGAAGCTCTAACATACTCTCAGTATGAATATATTTAAATCAACTGGTAAGATTGTTGTTGTGGACAAAGAAGTAAATTCAGAAGAATTCCTGCAACAAGAGAATTAACCATAAGATTTCATTTATTTTATTAGTAAAATCTCAAATGTCAAAAATGACAGATTGCCCTAGCTAAACCCAGCTATTAGAGGCATAGCCAGATTAGTATGATTGTACAAACTCCATAATGTTGGAAAGGCATTAGGATGGATATAAACAAATTTTCTATTTGTTTTATTGACTAATCATAGTTCTTCAGTTAACTGACTGATAAGAATATTATCATCAAGTATAATTGTTTTGTTAGACTGAGTAACAACGCCTACGGAGTATTACATCATCCATCTTGTGCTGAAATCCCATCCAGATTCAGCAGTTGAAGCCAGCTCTCGATAAAATTGCTGTTTCTCAGAAACATTCAAGAACTTCGAAGCAAATCTTTCGTCCTGGTAGATAGAGCAAGCAAGTTAAAGACAAAAAATCCTCCAACGTATAGCATGAAAATATTAGCAAGGTAAGCAAGTTGGAGAGAAGAACAAACAATAGTTGATGATTCAGGCCTGGGTTTGTTCCACATTGCATAATACCGATTTAAAGAGTGATTACGCTGCTTAGCATCACAGATAATCACCGCATGTATTTCTAGAACATCATAGAATGTAAAAATCAGAAAAGATAAAGTTAAGAGAGATTGAAGTACAGGAGGAAGTTCAAGCATAACTCTTCCATTCCATCAAGGAAAAGTTGGAACAAAATCAAGAAATTGCTCATCCAAGTAAAGATGACTCATTATACCTGAGTTCCAAAATTGATATTCTTTAAGCAATGGAGGGAGAGACTTCCTCACGAATTCCACATCACCAGTTCGATTGTATATCTCATAGACCATTGCACTCAGGAGGGGAGGCTGGCTGTTAAAAGTACCTCAAAGATTGTAAATAGCTGTGAAACTAAGAGCAATTAAGACAGTAAAATTTGGTACATGGTAATTTGCCAATATGAAGTTTATATAACTCCTCAAAAGCAGAATTGCGGAGTTTAAAGCCAATTTATACATTTGTCAATACAGATATAAGCTCCCTAAACATTGCTAAAACAAATGAAAGCATTACTTCAAAGCTATAATTTCTCAAAAGCAGAATTGTAGAGTTAAAAGAAAAATACATTTTTCATCACAGATTTAAAACTTATAAGCTCCCTAAACAATGCTAAAATAAATGAAAGTATTACCTTCGGTTGGTATAATAGGCTCTCGCACCATTAAGGACATGACCATATGTATCTAGCAAGGAAATGAGATTAGTCACGATTGCTTTTGCTGTCTCGTACATTTTGCTTGCCAGCAGGCCTCTGCACAAGCATATTAACATTAATCCCCACTAGGATGATAATAATAAGAAGTAAGAACCATTAAACTTAGATATGTTGTTTCCTTAATCATTCCGGCATCTGTGAAGCCACATGGAGCAATTTCGCAAATACAATAAGACCAGCATTATACCATTAGCCCAAATCAGATGATTCAACCTCAACTACTGCACAGAATCATATTTCTTGATTCTGAAATGATCTTAAAAAAGAACTATTGAACCTTCAAAACCTTAATGCAACAAAAACATTATGATGAAGCTGAAAGGTAAGGAAATAAAAAACTAACCTGATAACCCAGTAAGAATCCCAATAATAAACCTCCCTGAAACGTGAACCAGGAATCATAACAGGCCCTGGCAAAGGAAGCAGAGTATGCAATTCAGGGTGATGATGAACCGAGCTTGAAACTTTCCTACTCAAATTCTTCCACAAAGCATGCACCTCCAATGCCCAACCTCTCACCTCCGGATTCTCCACCTTGGGCAAAAAGCCATGAGGCTCAGGTACAAAATCCACTGGTTCAGCATAGACAACATCCTCCCCTGCACCTTTAAAGTACTTTCCTATAAACCCATCCAAATCTTTGACAGGCACTGACCCATTTGCAGTCTTGGGAAGTTTATCAAATGCCTCTACAGTGGTTGAAAGATTAAACTTTAACGACAAGTCCACATAGGTTTTAGGGTCAAAATTTGAGTTCCCATAAGTTTGCAAAGCAGTTTTTTGAACACGTTCAAGGAAACTAACTAAAGGGGTTGTGGGAATTACAGGCTCTGGTGGATCTTTACTACATGACAGAGGAGCTGAAAGGGACTGATTGGCAGCCATTGGGGCCAGCGACAATAAAAGAAAGAAAACAGAAGAGAGAAAAAGAAGCTGCTTTTCACGGTTGGTATGGCGATGAAACAAGGCCATAATAACCAGAAGTGGAGAAGATTGAATGAGACATGATGAATGAGTGTTGAATTTTAAGGAGAGGACGATGAAAAACGACGGCGATCACAATTTTGGTCGGCTTGACGTTTAAGGACTATGAATGTGGACAATCGAACATGGAAGACATTAATATTGACTTGACATAGCGAGGCCAGTGGAGGAATCCAATTGCACATTCATCCAATCGGAGTGAACCTTTTTCTATTTGGAACTGTGGAGATGGCATAGATAAAATCAAAAGGAAAGGACAATTGAAGGAATATATTTATTGAATAATGGAAGAAAGGAAATAGAAAAATACCCGGTCGCCGAGTTTACATTATTCTCTCCTGTGTATGGATTTAAAAAAATCTTAAAAGGTCTACTTGATGCTTTCTTTTTCACATGTTGGGTTCTATGCTTTTTCTACATTTATTTGTGCGAAACTGAGTCACTACATTTATATATAGTCTATAAATACCATAACGCTCCTTTAAAACATGGTAGCCCCGTCTTATACAACATTATAAAATCGTTGCAGATTTTACGCATTAAATCGAACAAATATTAGATTACACTATAGTCTGGAAATTATATTACACATCCGTTATTTTGTATAATATTTTAATTTTATTTTTCATTTTTATAATTTAAATTTAAGTTTTTACGTTTATAATTTTTTAAAAATATTTCGAATTTGTTAATTTTATTCATGATTATTAAAATATAAAAAAGTTATCACTTCGATATTGCATGTACGCCTACGTGCATATCTACATTTAAAAAAAAAAAAAAAAAACCCAAATCGACGCGAAAATCCTTTCTCGGCAATCATAGGCACTAGAAAATCCATAAAGCCAAAGTCAGTTTGGCGAACTGACGGAGGTGTATGGTAAGGAAACTGTTATCGGATGTGGGTTTTAAAGGTAGATGAAACAACATCATAGTTTATGTCCAATGCTACCTCCCAAGTCAAAAAAAGTAGGTCGGGCATTCGAAGTCTTCGCCTCCGAATTATTTTATTAAAGTAAATTCTCTTTCTACATTTTTACCATTTTATAGTTTAAGAGACAACAGCATCAATTCTAAACAAGGGAAATCAAAGCTTGCTTTGATTCACTGTTAAAAATTTCATTGTTATTGTTTAGGCATTAACATAGTCAATTGCACCGATTGCTTCAATCGGTTTTCTTGGGCAAAAAGAACACTTATAATCCATGTGAAGAGAAAAAAAAATTGATTAGAAATCAAAATTTTTATGTCTTTCAAAGAGCTATTTATTCGTTAGATCGAAGAATCGAATATGATTGATTCAATCCCTTTAAATCACCCATTTCATGATCTTTCATGACCAAATGAAAAAAAAAATCAACGATGCTAAACCCCATCATAAACTCGGACAAAAAATGTCACGTTCTCATCCAATAATTCTCTCCCAAAAGAAAAATACGAAGAAGCTGAACAAAGTAGCGTTGAGAGACAGAGAGAGGTGGATGCTCCTCAGAGCGAGTTTAGTTCCACAATGAAGCTCCAGTTTGGTGAAGCTTTCAGAAATTGGAACGACTTGCAACATTTTATACTCATCACGGGAGCCCTTGTAAGAGAGATTCTCCTTAAACCAACAAGAACTAGAAAACCCACAACACTAACCCTAAATATTGTAATGAAATGAACACCCAGAAAGATAAACCCGGGCTATTTATAAACAGAGAGCTTCTCGAAGACGAGGTTTGTGCCTGGACTAGTAGTGCCTATAGTCCACTCCAGGCACTACTTTTGATTACGGTTTCGGTTCTTTTTCAAGGTTGAGGTTCAGTTGGGGCCTTTCATTTCTACTTTCCTCCTGTGGGTCGGGGCTCTTAACAACGTGAAACTGTTGGAGGGGTACAAAGGAACACACAAGGCCCAATTAATATGCTCAAAATGAAGACTTGTAGGCTCCGAAATCTCATAAATTCTCATTAAAGTTACCTTCGAATTCGTGTTGATGAGGACAGCCTAACATATATTATGCATTACTCCCCACAATCACAACCACGTCTCAGAAGACTCTAGAAAAAGAAGATCCATTCTCAACCATATTACAAGGGAAATTGTCAGGAATGGGATATTTTGTTTAATTGCACAAAAAAGACGACGTAAAATATAATAATTCGAGACCAAGAAGAGGCCATTCATATTCAAAATTTAATATGAAAAGGCAATCATAGCCCAGAGAAACCTTAGAAAGAGTGACAGACAAACAGCAGCAGAGCTTAGAGTGTAAAAGTACCTAAAATCTACTAGCTGAGGAAAGAGGACAAGGGATAAAGTAATCCTTAATTCCAATTATTTAATTATCTAGAACGTTATCTGCTCCATTTGTCTTTTTGGCAATAAATCCTGGAAAAAGTGCACTACCCTGGTTGGATCAGGAGACAAATAACCTGGAAGTTCGGATGACAAACCAATATTCAAGTACTTAAGTGCCAAAAGCACAGTCAAGTCCTGAGGTCTTAGCAGCTCCTGCTTTCACCAATTATTTACTGATTTCAAAGAAAACTGAAATAAACTCTAGTAACTGCTGTAGAAGAGATTCCTAAAGGAGGAAACTTATTATATAATCAGATAAACAAGGCATAAGGTGTTCCAGCAAAAGCAAAACTAGAACAAAGTTTTGATGGAAATGTCTCCACAAAAGCAGGCCGGAGTTCAGGTACCAAAGAGTAAGATTTTGAAGGGAAGGAGAGCAAGGCTGTACATAATTCGCCGTTGTGTATTAATGCTGCTTTGTTGGAAGGACCACAAAGACAAAAATCATCGGTAAAGTTAAACATTCATTTTAGATGTTATTTTAGGCATTAGATTACAACAACATTGTGGCACTACTTGTAAAAAACTAGAACCATGGGCTATATAGAGAGGTTCACTTGCTAGAAATGCCAAAGAAGGCAATGGAAATACACTCTTATCTCTTTCCATTTTCTCTTTTTCTTACTCAGCAAAATAAAGGCTTCTTTATGCCAAGCATAGTTACCTGCATCTATGTAATCTTGACTTGTTAGGTATATTTTCCTCAACAAGTGAATATAAGATTGTAAAGTCTGAAGAAGAAAGTAGGACTAAGCCATTGCAATACCAACATACATTTTCTTGAGTAAATATCAATTTCAGAGTACACGTGCATTCAGAAAGTTAGGTGACTGAGGAATAAAGACCTAAGAGCAAGTATACTGATAACAGCTTAGGTTGAGAACATTAACAAATTAGCACGAGTATGAAGTATTGGTAAATGTATAATGGGTTCCTCAGTTTCTACATAGTTCCTAAGGCTAATAACAGGTGCATTTACTCAGTGTGTGTGTGTTTTGTCATACAAGGACATGCAAGCACAAGGAGGGAATGTAAAGCTCCCTTGTAAACCATGAAAGAATTTGAAATGATCTCAAAGTTGAACAATCTTAAGGGCCACTAGACACCTAATTTAGTGGGAAATATAGTTCCATTTGAAGATAGGCAGAACTTATTGCTCAATATTTGCCTAGTTAGAAGTTGCCTTGATCCTCATTTTCCATTTTCCTTTTTATTAGTGAAAAGCCAATAAAGAGAAAAGACAGAGAGATCATCTTAGTTAGAAAAGTTAAGACTAATAATCATGCAATAGAAGCACAAAATCCATATATTTATAAAGGCCCTAAATAGATCTCTATTGATTACTACCAAAGAACAGCAGCAGAAGCCTACTGTGCCTAAGTTAAGCAATGAGGTCGAATCCAAATCAAGGCCAAACCATCGATGAGCTGAATCCAGGAGCTGCACCATCATAAATTTGCTGTCAAGCCGAGAAAAGAATTCCGGGCATGGGCTATCAATACAATTCTACAAACATATCCTAAGGAAACAGCGTAAAAAGAAACAGCAGACTCTCTCCTTAGCAAATGCACATACACTTCCAGAATGATTTCAAAGACTGAAGAAACCAATCCCCATCCATCATAATATTAATTCATTGCATAGACTCAAAGATTTTAAATTCAATAATCCAAAAAGTTATATAAAAAGAGTTCAAATCAGTAATTCCTTTAACTAATAACAATATGACAGTCATTACCATACCTAAATATCAAATTCAGGAATAAAATCAAGCTCCGTTGTTTTCGATTTAGGGTTTTGACTCTTGACTTAAAAGAAAACAAGATAAACAACAACATTAGATCATTTATTTATTTATTTTTTGTATACAGAAACCCTTAAATCAAGAGAAATAGAAAATAAGTGTTGGGGCAAGTACCGAACTTTTAGCGAGTGGAAGACGACTTTCAGGAGTAGGTGAGCGGGCGGCCCTTGGCCTCGTCGGGATTGTCGTCATCGTCAGGGTCGGTAGTGGCTACGTTAACGCAGGCGAAGCGCTCTAGGGATGAGAAAAAGGCGGAGACCACGGAGGCGCTGACCCAGCTTGCGACCTCTTCCAGCTTCTCGCGAGAAATCAAGCTCGGGGTCGGGGAGTTACTGTCGCTGTTATCCATTCTCTGTTCTTGCTCTGAAATCGATTTGATTTCCAACAAATGAAAGATTGATTGGATTAATAGTTTTGAAGCGGGCTTTGCAGCCCAGGTCCTCGTCCTGCTCAAGCCCAATGGATTGGGCTAACGAACTGCATGTTAGGAAAGTCCAGATTTCATACACATATAGTTCAGAAAAAACCCAATCAAAATCATTTTGGGCTAACAGACTAAGCTAAAATAAAAACATTGAAATCGAAAGTGTTGCTTTTTCATGGCTGTGCTTACTGAGTGGATGGAGTCGATAAATTGACAGTCTTCATGCATAACACATTTACAATGTTTGGAAAATTTTGGCAGGTTACTAACTGTATGGGCTCGCGCCACAGGGAAAGCAACCTGCAGGCATGCGGCTGCTGATTGTTTAAGGGTCATAAATACTCTTGCGATGAGGGACGTCATGCCTGTCACTTAACGTCAAATATCGGTCATTGTGCTTTCCAGCAATATTATATTTTGGGTTTTGAATTTTGATTGATTGATTGTTGCAAGCTTATTTCAATAGATTAGGTTGTCGAGATTTGTCATATCTTATGACTTATCATTTAGTCGAGGAATTTGCCCAATGTGACACCAAAAGCTTATTTGTTTGGATTGAGTCTCATGTTGTACTTTTTGATCGTATTGAAGGTTTTTTTTAGATTTTTCAAGTGTTTGGTCGAGTTCTTGCTTTTGCGAATCATGTCATTAACGTATGTTTTGACATTGTAATTGGTTTGATTTTTAAATACTTTTTGACTAATTTTTGATGGGTCACGTTTGCACTTTTTAAGCTAAAGGGCATTACTTTGTCATAGTACAGGCCTTTTTTTTTTATCACAAATGTTATCTTTTCCTTATTTTTTTTAATATTTTGATTTGATTATAACTAAGTTGACGTCAATAAAGCTGAGTAGGCCATGTTTGAGACTATCATCCACCATCCGATTTATGTTAGGTAGAGGAAAGTTATCCTTTGAGCATGTTTTGTTAAGATTAGTGAAGTTTATGCACATTCTCCATTTCTCATTGTGCTTTTTTACCATGTTGATGTTGGTAATCCATTCAGGGTAATACACTTCCCTAATAAAAGCTTGTCTTCAACAATTTGCTGACCTTCTCCTTTATTGCTTTTTATCTTTTAAGGTAAAAGTCTTATTCCTTTACCAAATTGATCTTATGTTTGGATCAGTGTGTAGCTTGAAGACCATTATCGTGAAATCTGTCCTAAGCATGTTGGATGG